AGTGGTTCCTTGGTTCCACGACCACCGCCCCTACATCCATTCTGAGCGCGCGACATCACCTGATTTGAGTTCAGGTGACGACTGATTCTAGCGCTCAAAATGGATGTTAGTGTCTTGTATATCGTGGGTAGACACGTGATGGGGCGGTATTTGCTCGGGTCTGTGGTATCCTGATCTTTAGGAACCAAATGAGTGATCCCAGTAGTGAAGAGGCTCGGGAGCGACTTCTGGTCGAGAGCCTCTTGAAACTGTCGGGCGAGCACAGCGTGACACACCACGAACCCCTTCAGCCAGTAGTGATGCAGCCCGTCGAGCCCCGGACTTTTCCAGTTCGGGGCCCTACGGACCGCCTCAACTACATCATCCGGCGTTATGATGACGGGGTCCATGGGCGTAATATTCGCACACTGACTCGCCACAACTTCCGTCCAAGGGCCCTCGCTGTGGTTTACGGGCTCTGACCACAGGCCGCGCCAGAATGCGATAGTGTCGGCCTGATTCGGTGCTGGGCCCGTTCCACGTACCATTGGTCGCTCCAATGATTCATAGAGCCTCTTCTGATCACTCTGAAAGAGACGATTCTGGTTGAACCGTGTCGACCTCTCGGTATATCGCCGAATCCGCTTCCCCCAAGCAGCGATTCTCTGCTTCAGGTCGTCTATGCGCTCCGTCAGTTTTTGCGTTATATCCGGCTGGGACAAACTGATATTTGTCCCAGCAAACGCCAACCTGACGGTGCGCACAATTCTCGGCCTATTATTGCCCGACCTGAAGCTTATCAGCCTGCCAATGAGGGCCCTTGCCTTTACGATACGGTCCTCAATCCTTCTTCTCCAGGCTGGGATGGTGCTACTTTGTCTAGTAGCACGTCCAGCCATGGGAAGTTTGGCGCCAACAATACGGCGCCAAACTTCCCATGGCATTAAATATAATTTTTTTTTTTTTTTTCGTGAGGGTAGTCGTAAAAGCAACACATATTTCATATCGTCCTATTTATTTTTAATTAAAGTTACAGTATTTATTGGTTTTATTTAAATTTTTATTGTAAATTATGTACATGTGAGTGACACTACCTACCAGCAAAAGAAATCCTTGTGATAATTTCACTTTATTTCATTATCCACTCAAAAGTGACATAATATGGACTCATTGAAGCAATCATTTTCTGCAATGACGGAGATGTTTTACATGAAAATGGACGAATTTCAGCAAGATTTGCAAAAAAACTCAGCAGGCAAGACCTCTGCTACCACCTCGTCGATCGCTGCTGACTTCGAGTCTTTTAAAGTTTTTATTGTGGCCGCGTTAAATACTATGCAGCAGCAAATGGAGTTTTTACGGCTGGAAATGGATCGCCAGGAAATGCGGAGAAGGCGGAAGATGCTACTCTTGCATGGCATACCAGAGGCTAAGACGGAGGACCTTACTGCGCGCGTCACTTCATTGGTTGCGGAGCACTTGGACCTGTCAAATTTTTCTAGTTCCAGCATCAAGGCCAGTTATCGCCTGGGCCGTCCTACCGACAATAGACCCAGGCCTGTTGTTGTGAAGTTCGCTGAACTGCCAGTCCGTAACAAGGTGTGGTTTGCGAAAACTAAATTCAAAGGCACTGGCATTACCCAATCTGAGTTTTTGACAAAGTCTCGGCATGCAGTATTTCTGGAAGCTCGGAAGCGGTTTGGAATCACTAAGTGTTGGACACGCGACGGATACATTTACATCATTGGTTCGGATGGGACCCATCACCAAGTGGAATGTTTGCGCGAGCTTGAGAGCATTCCCGGAGGGTCAAAGTCGATACATACAGCAACATTGCAGGTCCAAAGTTCTGTACAGGCGGCTAAAAGCCCGGTGACTGGATTACCTCTTCCCCGTTCAAGGCGAGTGGTTAAAAAATAAGATAATGCTTAAATTAGATTTTAGTTTGTTGTTCAAATGTAGTGTTCTTTGTGTTCAAGCAGTTTCTTTTTCTCATAATTATTTCACGTAGTAATTTAATAAATTTATTATATTAATTTATGTAGTAATAACATCTTGCTCATAAATTACAAAACACTATTGTAATTTTTTGCTTCACTCATTGCCTTACCAGAATATTTATATCATGCATTTCTTTACTATAAAATATTTTGTCATACTGAAAACTAACAATGTGTCACTTTGATCGTTAATCATAGACTTAACTTAATTTTAAATTTCTCATTTTTGCTATAGATACCTGTACTTTGAGTAATACTTTCTGAGTACTTTGTTTTTTTTTTATTTGTGTTTATGTCTTGTAAGTTACTTTTATTTTTATTTTTTTTTTTGATTTGTATTTATGTTTGTAGTATGCATTAAAAATAATATTAATGTTTAACATGTCATGTTCCCCTCTCTTATGTAGACTCATGTTACAACATTTTTATTCTTTTTTTTTTATTACTTTTTCTGTTATGTTGATACGAGTGGTGATGACGGTCTGTTGCTGGTGGGTTTTATGACCTGTCTTTTTTATTATTATTTATATTCCATTTTATTTATTTAAGTAATTTATATTTAGTATTAATATTTAATATTCAATATGTCTTTTCAAGATATAAGCCTAGACGACTCCTTTTTTTCACCTTCATCCTCTGATGGATTGAATAGTAGTAATAGTTTCTACAGCCTCCCTTCTCTTAATCAAACATTAGATTCGCACTTCTCAGATCTATTGAAAAATTTCAACATTATCCATATTAATGCCCAGAGTATTCCAGCACATTATCCAGACATGCTCTCCTCATTTGATAATAAAAACATTCATGCTATTTTGATATCTGAATCTTGGTTTAAGCCATGTTTGTCCTCTACATCATATGCTCTTCCAGGCTTTCAACTAATAAGGAATGATCGGATTACTCGGGTTGGTGGAGGTGTTGCTATCTACCTTCGGTCACACTTACCATTTACAATTATAAGTATGTCAACTGACCAGGGCACTACAGGAGCTGAACATTTAATTATTGAAGTTTTTTTTCTGGTTCCAAGCTACTACTTGGCGTGTTTTATAATCCTAGCCTTACAGTTGACTACTTTTCTTCGTTTGAAAGCCTCTTAGACAAATATATCCCTCTGTATCAACACTCTATCATTATGGGTGATTTTAACACGTGCCTTCTAAAAAATGACTCGCGCTCCTTTCGATTGAAATCTATAGTTCAAGCAGCTAACTTACATATTCTCCCTCTTTCTGCTACTCACTTTTTTCCAAATTGTTCGCCATCTCTTCTGGACCTTATTCTTGTTTCTTCCATTGATCATGTTGATAAACATGGTCAGTGTCCTGCTGATGCATTTTCATATCACGACTTGATTTACTTATCTTACAAATTACGACCACCTAAACCTAAATCGAGAATCCTTCTGCTGCGTAATTTTGATGGTATGGATTTAGATCGTCTGAGAGATGAGGCTGCGAAGATCGACTGGAATGTTGTTCTTACTGGAGCTAACATTGACGAAAGGGTTAATAGCTTTAATTCTCTTTTAATACAACTCTACGACGTTCATGCTCCAATTCGGCCGGTCCGGATTAAGCATTTGCCTGCTCCCTGGCTTACTCAGGAGATTAAAAATTTGCAGCGTAAGAAAAATTTTGCAAAAGCCAGGTATAAATTTGATAACTGTGATACCAATAGAGATAAATATAAAAAAATTCGGAATCACTGCAACAGGTTGTGTAGAGATAAACAACGTTGCTATATTCATAAATCTATACTCGATGAAGATAATTCCGGCAGAGTATGGAAATTTCTTAAGTCTCTTGGAGTTGGGAAAGCGAGTCAAAATAGTAGCCCCAAAAATATTGACTTAAACCAGCTAAATCAGCATTTCTCTTCTTCTTGTGCCATAGATGAGGTCACAAAAATACAAACTAAAACTCAAATTTCAGCTTTACCCAAATCTGACAATCCTGCGTTTATTTTTAGTCAAATCACTGATAGTGATGTTAAGAAAAGCATTGTTGAGGTCAATTCTGATGCAATTAGTACAGACTGCATTAGTCGTAAAATGATTATCCCTATTGTTGATATCTTGACTCCTGTTATAAAATCCATCTTTAATTATTCCATTTCATCCGGAAATTTTCCCTCCTCCTGGAAAGAAGCCCAGATTACTCCTATACCCAAAAAAGCAAATCCCTCCAGTTTCTCTGACTACCGCCCCATATCCATAATTCCATTCCTTTCAAAAGTTTTTGAGCGTATAGTCCATCGACAATTGAGCATCTACTTATCTAGGTGGAGTCTTTTAAATTCTTTCCAATCCGGTTTCCGTGTTGGTCATAGTACGACTACTGCCTTAGTCAAGATTACAGAGGATATTCGTCTAAGTATGGATAAACAGCACGTAACAGTGTTGACCTTACTTGACTTTAGTAATGCATTTAACAATGTGGATTTTGATCTACTGTTAGCTATCTTAGCTTCTCTTAACATATCTCCTGAAGTGATTGACTGGTTTCATAGTTACTTGTTTGGTCGCCGGCAACGGACACGTGTAGATGATTCGTTCTCTAACTGGTGTACGATTAATGCAGGTGTACCGCAAGGTGGCGTGTTGTCTCCTCTCCTCTTTTCAATCTTCATTAGTTCGATCACGCTCCAATTATCTTCTCGCTACCACCTGTATGCAGATGATCTCCAAGTATATGAGCATGCCAAATTGATGGATTTACCCAATACTATAGGTTTATTAAACAAAGATCTTGACTTAATTGTGGATTGGTGTAAGTCATACGGTCTTAAAGTAAATCCATCAAAAACAAAAGCAATAATTATAGGCAGTCAAAAATTGGTTAATCTTATAGATTTTTCTTCCCTACCTGGTATTATTTAAACAAGCCGCAAAACAATGCGAATGTGAAAAACAAGTCTTCGATGTCGTCAGAAGTGGAAAATAATCGTGTCAGCATAAGTAACTCCAACGTTACTCAACAAAACAACGATATGACAGAAATTTTATTAGCGACAGCGATGCTCAAGGTGCGGGCCGCAGATGGTACTTATAAAATAATGCGCACACTTATTGATCAGGGTTCGCAAGTCTCAATAATATCTGAGAATGCGGCCCAGCGACTAGCACTTCCTAGACGAAACTGCAAAGGTAGTATTTATGGGGTTGTTGTTAAACCTAATAGCTGTAAAGGAGTACTTCACTTAACATGCTCATCAATGGACGACAACTACGTTTTTGACACGTCGGTATTTATCATGCAAAATCTTATCAAACAATTACCAAATTCAACATTTGCTAAGCCTTCGTGGTCATTCTTGAACAATATACAACTAGCTGACCCAGACTTCAACATCAGCAGACCGGTGGATCTTCTTCTGGGTGCTGACATATATTCGAACATTATATTACCTGGAATATGCAGAGAAGAAGATCAATCTATGCCGATTGCCCAACAGACTCGGCTCGGCTGGATTTTGTGTGGAAATACAAAAACATACCAATGCAATGTAATTTTGAACAACATCGAACAAATCGAAAAATTTTGGGAAACAGAGGACATTACTGAGCATTTCGACTTATCAGAAGAAGACCTTCAATGTATTCAATACTATGAAGAAACAACAAAACGACTGAGTGATGGTAGATACGAGGTCAGACTCCCACTCAAACCAGGATATGAAAAACAATTGGGTTCGTCCAAAAATAAGGCAATCGCACATTTTTTAAGCATGGAAAGAAAGTTTAGAAAAAACAACAGTTTTGAGCAAAATTACAAAGCCTTCATTCATGAGTACCTAGCGCTTGGACATATGAAACCCGCTGATTCAATGGGTCGACTCGAATGTTATATACCTCACCACGGCGTACAACGACCGGAATCGACAACTACGGCCTTGCGAGTAGTGTTCAATGGCTCATGCAAGACTTCAACAGGTTCGAGTCTCAATGATGTTATGTATGCAGGTCCAAACTTACAGCAAGACCTTCAGGAACTGTTGATCAAGTGGCGACAGTTTGAGATAGTATTTACGGCTGACATTGAAAAGATGTTTCGCCAAATATGGATTCATCAAGATGACCAGCTTCTCCAAAAAATAATATGGAGAGATTGTCCAAGTTCTGCATTGCAAGACTTACAACTATGCACAGTCACCTATGGCACAAAAGCTGCCCCATTTTTGGCCATGATGACGCTTAAACGATTAGCAAACGATGAACGAAGAAATGATTACTCCACCACTGCAATCCAGACCCTGGAAAAAGCAATGTACATGGACGACCTGCTGTATGGAGCCCATTCTATGACGTCAGCATTGGAATTACAACAAGAGCTTATTCGCCTGCTTCAGTCTGGAGGATTCAACTTAAGAAAATGGAATTCCAACAAAGAGGAACTACTTAACATCAACAACAACCAAGACAACAAAAATTTTAATTTTAAACATGCACATTCATCGAAAACACTTGGACTCAGCTGGATTTCTAAACAAGATATTTTCACATTCCAAACAAAAATTACTGACTCTGAGAAGAAATGTACAAAGCGAAGTCTTTTGTCAGAAATTTCGAAACAGTTCGATCCAATCGGCTTGATTGCTCCTATAACACTGAGACTAAAACTTCTCTTCCAAAAAGTATGGCAGCTGAATCTTCAGTGGGATGATGAACTACCCGAAGAAATCCAAGTAGAATGGATAAACATGAAACATGGCATCAAAATGATTGATCAACTACAAATACCTAGATGGTTGGGAACAAAAGAAAATAGCTTAGTCGAATTGCATGGTTTCTGCGATTCGTCGGAGAGAGCATTCGGCTGCGCCATATATTGCAGAACAAGCAAAAATCATCATTCAATGGTGGTGTTAGTTGCCGCCAAAACCCGACTAGTACCCATCAAAAAGCCTATCACTATACCAAGGCTCGAATTAAATGCCGCAGTTTTATTATCAAAATTGATGAACAAGGTTGTCAACTGCCTAAGTACGTACAACATACAGATCTTTGGTTGGTGTGACTCCACCGCTGTTCTAGGCTGGTTGCACGGAGACGCTGCACGATGGAAGCCTTTCGTGGCGAACAGGGTCAAACAAGTGATCACAAATATGCCCCCCGCCTGCTGGCGCTATGTGAAGTCGGAGGAAAATCCAGCAGATTGCGCCAGCAGGGGCTTAACAGCAGGACAACTAAAAGACCACCCGCTTTGGTGGCAAGGGCCCTCTTGGCTACTAACATATAAACAAGATGTAGAAAACAACCCTATGTATACAACCAACGAAGAGGAAAAGCAAGTTTTAGTAGCTCAGAAAGCAAAAGAAGAAGAAAAAAGCTACATTTTACCGCAACTTATAGAAAAACAAAGCTCATTTACACGCTTAGTAAGAATATTAGCATGGATTCTACGAGTCAAAAAAGATAAAACTAAACAGAGGCAGCCCTACCTAACAATATCAGAGTTACAAACAGCTACTAATTTATTAATAAAACATGTGCAATCAGCCGAATTCAAAGACGATATCAATAACATTACGCAAAATAAACAAGTACCGAAAAAGAGCCCATTATCAAAGTTGAATCCGTTCATAGATAAAAATGGCATCTTAAGAGTAGATGGCAGATTAGAACTCGCAAATATCACATATAATATGAAACATCCAATAATTTTGCCGAACAGAAGCCGTTTTACACAATTACTGATTGATAGCGCGCATAAGATCACATTTCATGGCGGCGCGCGATTGACGTCAGCGTTCATTCGACAAAAGTACTGGATTGTTGGCGGAAATCGAACAATTAAAAGGTTAATAAGAACCTGTATAACCTGTCGACGTTACGCTCCCAGCATACAACCCCAGATCATGGGTGATTTGCCTGAAGCCAGGACAAACCCCTCCCGTCCTTTTTATCATACAGGAGTTGACTACACGGGTTACGTGGACGTCAAGGCAAGCAAGGGTCGAGGCATAAAACAAACAAGGGTTATGTGGCTGTATTCGTGTGCATGGCAACAAAGGCCGTGCACCTCGAACTCGTGTCCGACCTCACGTCGTCAGCATTTTTGGCCGCACTGCGTCGTATGGCAGCTCGTCGAGGCGCGCCGCGTCACATATATTGCGACAACGGCACTAACTTCGTCGGTGCTAGCCGTGTTCTAGAACAAAACATAAAGCAGCTTAAAGAAAATATTTCTGATCCAGAATTCTTAACTGAACTTACGAAAATGGAGATCGAATTCCACTTCAACGCTCCTTCTTGGCCATAAGCGGGAGGACTCTGGGAGGCTGCGGTCAAGAGCCTGAAATATCACATCAAACGTGTTATCGGAGAGCAAAAATTAACATTCGAAGAGTACTCAACGATACTTACTCAGCTAGAAGCGTGCCTTAATACTAGGCCGCAGTGTGCATTAACTGAGGATGTGGAGGACCTGGACTTCTTAACGCCTTCGCATTTCTTAACTGGAACAGCTGATGTAACCATACTGGAAACAGAACACGACGCGCGAACAAGATGGAACTTAACAGAAAAACTAATGGCTGATATCTGGAAGCGCTGGAAATCGGAATACCTTACACAACTTACCGTTCGAAACAAATGGAAGCAGTCGACATCTAACAATCAAGTCGGTCAATTGGTGACAATTCAAGAAGGTAACTTACCTGCTGGAAAATGGTTGACAGGTCGAGTTATACATTTACACCCAGGAAAAGATGGTTTCGTTCGAGTTGTCTCCTTGAAAACAAAAAACGGAATTTTAAAACGGCTAGTTACCAAATTATCCATACTGCCACTGCGAGGAAACCAGGAACCTGAACTCAGAAAACACCAGATAACAGCTAAAACAAGTCTGCTGTCAATTTGTGCTGCATTGCTATTTTTCTTGAGTATAATCATACCTACGCAGGGTGCTTATACTATTCAGCAACTTAATCAATCTTTGTATTTCGACGCTATTTCCAACATCCAACTTATTCGAGACAACTGGAAGCTCATAATTTACTACAACATGCAACCATTTTGGGAAGGCTCCGAAGCACTTGACAAATATCAAAAACACATGGAAAACATATGTAAAACAATGAAGGGTGACGGTCATTGTGATGCGATGCTATTGCAGTTACGTCATAGTACCAGTGAACTCGAGTACTACAACCGCATGTTGCTAGGTAAACAAACCGAGCACGACAGACAGAAACGAGGGCTTATCAATGGTGTCGGGTATATCGCGAATAGTCTCTTCGGAGTACTCGACGACCATTTCGCAGAAAAGTATGAGCGAGATATCACACTCGTCAGACAGAATGAACATCATTTGGCTTCCCTGTTCAAGAATCAAACGTCTATTATCGAAGCGGAATACAACATGATGAAAAGAATGGAAGAAGTTATGAGAAAACAACACAAGATTATCAACAAACAGATTAGTGCTTTAGACAGCAACATAAACAAAGTAAAAACAGAATTGGAAAAACTTTATAACATCAACCAATTTTTGGCTATGTCTGTCATAGCGAACAATTTACTGCTGAACTTGAAAAGCATACAAAACATGATGACAGACGCTATCACCGATATATATCATGGAAGGTTCGATGTTCATCTCATAAGCCCTACTCAGTTGAGAAATGAACTGAACACAATATCTGGACAAATACCTAAAGACTTGACTCTACCTATATCAAACATACAATCAGATTTTCAAAAAATATATCAGTTTCTTCAAGTGAAAACAAAGATGACTAATAAGTACTTGATTTTTGAAATCAGATTACCATTGGTCAGCCGAGATAATTACAACCTATACAGAGTTATACCGATTCCTCATAAACGGACCAACAATTTTGTGAACATTAAACCGATTGCAGATTACATTGCAATTAATTTAGAAAAGGATATCTACATCCCAATGACATCTATCGATTTACAAGAGTGTATTATGTACGATTTTTCAGCACATTTATGCCACCTCAAACACCCCATATACCAAAGAAATTCAGATGAAGATCTGTGTTTGAAGAATAATTACACAAATCAGTGCCAAATAAACATCGCCGGGTGCAGTAACATGTTTATTCAATTAAATAAAGCGAACAATTACTTATTTACAACGTGCGACAAATGCAACGTAAGAATTTTTTGCGGTGATCAAGTTACCGTGGAACGGCTGAGAGACGCCGGGGTCATTGCGCTGGAACCCGGTTGCTCAATCAAAAGTGAAGAATTATCAATCTATACGCACAAAATATTGACGAGTGAATTGAAAACCGGACCTGAAATTTATACGCCTGAAATCGCTGCTATTAACCAAATTATCAAGCTCTCTATCCCAGAAACAGGAGAGTTGGAAAAAGACGCTGACAGTTTCCAAGCCAACCTAACCACCTTGAACGAAAACATCAAACACCTAAAATCCCAAAATGTGATCGCTGAAAACATAACATTCCATGACATACATCATTACGTCGCGATTTACATCCTGGTGGGAGTGGCAGTGATAGCTGCTATATGCCTTGCCTGCAAACGACTACGACAAAGAAGAAACACGGCTATCACTTCAAGTATTAGCCTCGATAACATAACCACGGAAGGTCTAAGCTCCGCTCCTGTGGCTGCGCTGGCCGCCCCGAGAGCGCAGCGCGCCGCTGCAGTGCCCGCCCCGAGAACGCAACCCGTCGCCGCCAGCACCGAGCGTGAGTCCTCACCCGCAGTCCCGAACCCCGAGAGCGCAGCGCGCCGCTGCATTGCCCGCCCCGAGAACGCAACCCGTCGCCGCCAGCACCGAGCGTGCGTCCTCACCCGCGGTCCCGAACGCGTTCAACACTCAAGACCGAGCAACATCTCCTATATTGCGAACTCTCATTCTTAAACGCGATGAAGAATAATTTTATACCTAACTTTTCTCAAATAATTTTACTTTTTTATGTATTTTTAGTTTATCTCCCTTGTTGTGCGGGAAGATGTTCAGTTTACACCGAACACATTATGTACGCGTAGGCATTTTACTTTAAAGTTTTTATTTAAGTCAGTACATGTACGGACGCCAACATTGTCTCGTGTGTGCTCACATACATAACATTTATAAACATATAACATTTATAAACATTGTAACAATAATATTATAACAATATAATAAACATTTTGTGCATAAACAGTATTTTAAGTAACATTTACATCAAAAGGTGTTGAATACCACAACATTATCTGTTTCGGCTTTCACGAGGTTTTCGTCATAAGGAATGGTAATGTCGACCAAAAATATCCTTGACTGTGCCCGGTCCATCAGCACAATATCAGGCTTATTCGCAAGAACAGTCCTGTCTGTGATGATGGCCCGGTCCCAGTAGAGCCTGGCGCGGTCATTTTCGAGTACGGCTTCCGGCAAGTACTTATAATACGGCAGTTTCCGATCCACGAGACCGTATTTCAGAGCGAGCTCCTGGTGTAGAATCCTGGCTACTAAGTTGTGTCTGTGCAAATACTCAGAGTTAGAAAGCGCCGAACAACCGGAGATGACATGCCTAAGTGACTCACCGGGATGGCGACAAGCTCGACAGACGTCAACGGTGCCATCCTTTAGGATGTATCTCCGATAATTGTTGGTCTTAATAACCTGGTCCTGTATCGCACAGACAAAACCCTCGGTTTCCCCAAAGAGGTCACCGAAACGTAGCCAGTGGAGGGAGGTGACTGTGTCTACGAAAGGCTCGTGTAGAGCCTTGTAGAACCTCCCGTGGAGCACCTTCTCCTTCCATACGGTCTCCCGGTCGGAAATGCTCTGTACTGCCGGGTCCCGCCATTGCTCGTTGGCTAAGGATATAGGGGTAAGTCCTTTATCACAAGAAATAACGTCCCTATAGTATGGATCATCTGCTCTCGTCAGAAAGTAATTACGGAGGCTGCACACTTCGCGATTATGCATGGTAAGCGCACTTAAAAAGCCGCGCCCACCATGTTTCCGCGGCAAGTACAGCCTCATTACTGACGATCTCGGATGATGCATCCTGTGGGACGTCTTTATAGTGCGGACTTTTCTGTCCAGAGCGTTTAGTTCGGTCTGAGTCCACCTAAGTATGCCAAAGGTATACATGAGAACAGGCATGACCCAACCGTTATATGCGTGCGTCTTATTCACACCGGACAAAAGGCTGTTAAGCACTTTGGTCAAGCGTGCATAAAACACATCGCAAACTGACTGTTTCATACCCGCCTCATCTACACCGATGTTCTGTGACATACCCAGGTATCGGTATGTTTCAGCCCCGGAAAGGGTCCTTATGTTGATGGGCATAGATAAATCTATGCCCTCAGAGTTAGCAACCCTTCCCCTTTCAACATGGAGGACCGCACACTTATCCGTCCCCAGCTCCATTCTAATAGAACTGCTAAATTTAATTATACTTATATATATAACTTGAGATCATCCATATAGAAAAGGTGGGTCACTTTTGTACCTCCCCTCGGAAGCTGAAATCCCCTCCCGGAGCCCTCCAGTAAGGTACTGAGAGGGTTCAGAGAGAGGCAGAACCAGATTGGACTCAAACAATCGCCCTGGAAGATAACCCTTCTTATCTTTATGTGGTTCTCCGCAGCCGTCATCCGCTCACCTAGATGACAAAGGATCGTACTCCACTGCCCCATACACTGCCCGAGGAAGTCTCTAACTGTACAGTCAATCTTGTACAGCTCGAGGACCCTCTTAAGCCATGCATGAGGTACCGAGTCGAATGCCTTTTTGTAGTCTATCCTGGCGGCGGAGAGGTTCCGACGGTTGCGTTTAACCACCTTGCCAATGACCGCGTCAATGAGGAGTGGTTCCTTGGTTCCACGACCACCGCCCCTACATCCATTCTGAGCGCGCGACATCACCTGATTTGAGTTCAGGTGACGACTGATTCTAGCGCTCAAAATGGATGTTAGTGTCTTGTATATCGTGGGTAGACACGTGATGGGGCGGTATTTGCTCGGGTCTGTGGTATCCTGATCTTTAGGAACCAAATGAGTGATCCCAGTAGTGAAGAGGCTCGGGAGCGACTTCTGGTCGAGAGCCTCTTGAAACTGTCGGGCGAGCACAGCGTGACACACCACGAACCCCTTCAGCCAGTAGTGATGCAGCCCGTCGAGCCCCGGACTTTTCCAGTTCGGGGCCCTACGGACCGCCTCAACTACATCATCCGGCGTTATGATGACGGGGTCCATGGGCGTAATATTCGCACACTGACTCGCCACAACTTCCGTCCAAGGGCCCTCGCTGTGGTTTACGGGCTCTGACCACAGGCCGCGCCAGAATGCGATAGTGTCGGCCTGATTCGGTGCTGGGCCCGTTCCACGTACCATTGGTCGCTCCAATGATTCATAGAGCCTCTTCTGATCACTCTGAAAGAGACGATTCTGGTTGAACCGTGTCGACCTCTCGGTATATCGCCGAATCCGCTTCCCCCAAGCAGCGATTCTCTGCTTCAGGTCGTCTATGCGCTCCGTCAGTTTTTGCGTTATATCCGGCTGGGACAAACTGATATTTGTCCCAGCAAACGCCAACCTGACGGTGCGCACAATTCTCGGCCTATTATTGCCCGACCTGAAGCTTATCAGCCTGCCAATGAGGGCCCTTGCCTTTACGATACGGTCCTCAATCCTTCTTCTCCAGGCTGGGATGGTGCTACTTTGTCTAGTAGCACGTCCAGCCATGGGAAGTTTGGCGCCAACAATACGGCGCCAAACTTCCCATGGCATTAAATATATTTTTTTTTTTTTTCGTGAGGGTAGTCGTAAAAGCAACACATATTTCATATCGTCCTATTTATTTTTAATTAAAGTTACAGTATTTATTGGTTTTATTTAAATTTTTATTGTAAATTATGTACATGTGAGTGACACTACCTACCAGCAAAAGAAATCCTTGTGATAATTTCACTTTATTTCATTATCCACTCAAAAGTGACATAATATGGACTCATTGAAGCAATCATTTTCTGCAATGACGGAGATGTTTTACATGAAAATGGACGAATTTCAGCAAGATTTGCAAAAAAACTCAGCAGGCAAGACCTCTGCTACCACCTCGTCGATCGCTGCTGACTTCGAGTCTTTTAAAGTTTTTATTGTGGCCGCGTTAAATACTATGCAGCAGCAAATGGAGTTTTTACGGCTGGAAATGGATCGCCAGGAAATGCGGAGAAGGCGGAAGATGCTACTCTTGCATGGCATACCAGAGGCTAAGACGGAGGACCTTACTGCGCGCGTCACTTCATTGGTTGCGGAGCACTTGGACCTGTCAAATTTTTCTAGTTCCAGCATCAAGGCCAGTTATCGCCTGGGCCGTCCTACCGACAATAGACCCAGGCCTGTTGTTGTGAAGTTCGCTGAACTGCCAGTCCGTAACAAGGTGTGGTTTGCGAAAACTAAATTCAAAGGCACTGGCATTACCCAATCTGAGTTTTTGACAAAGTCTCGGCATGCAGTATTTCTGGAAGCTCGGAAGCGGTTTGGAATCACTAAGTGTTGGACACGCGACGGATACATTTACATCATTGGTTCGGATGGGACCCATCACCAAGTGGAATGTTTGCGCGAGCTTGAGAGCATTCCCGGAGGGTCAAAGTCGATACATACAGCAACATTGCAGGTCCAAAGTTCTGTACAGGCGGCTAAAAGCCCGGTGACTGGATTACCTCTTCCCCGTTCAAGGCGAGTGGTTAAAAAATAAGATAATGCTTAAATTAGATTTTAGTTTGTTGTTCAAATGTAGTGTTCTTTGTGTTCAAGCAGTTTCTTTTTCTCATAATTATTTCACGTAGTAATTTAATAAATTTATTATATTAATTTATGTAGTAATAACATCTTGCTCATAAATTACAAAACACTATTGTAATTTTTTGCTTCACTCATTGCCTTACCAGAATATTTATATCATGCATTTCTTTACTATAAAATATTTTGTCATACTGAAAACTAACAATGTGTCACTTTGATCGTTAATCATAGACTTAACTTAATTTTAAATTTCTCATTTTTGCTATAGATACCTGTACTTTGAGTAATACTTTCTGAGTACTTTGTTTTTTTTTTTATTTGTGTTTATGTCTTGTAAGTTACTTTTATTTTTATTTTTATTTTTTTGATTTGTATTTATGTTTGTAGTATGCATTAAAAATAATATTAATGTTTAACATGTCATGTTCCCCTCTCTTATGTAGACTCATGTTACAACATTTTTATTCTTTTTTTTTTATTACTTTTTCTGTTATGTTGATACGAGTGGTGATGACGGTCTGTTGCTGGTGGGTTTTATGACCTGTCTTTTTTATTATTATTTATATTCCATTTTATTTATTTAAGTAATTTATATTTAGTATTAATATTTAATATTCAATATGTCTTTTCAAGATATAAGCCTAGACGACTCCTTTTTTTCACCTTCATCCTCTGATGGATTGAATAGTAGTAATAGTTTCTACAGCCTCCCTTCTCTTAATCAAACATTAGATTCGCACTTCTCAGATCTATTGAAAAATTTCAACATTATCCATATTAATGCCCAGAGTATTCCAGCACATTATCCAGACATGCTCTCCTCATTTGATAATAAAAACATTCATGCTATTTTGATATCTGAATCTTGGTTTAAGCCATGTTTGTCCTCTACATCATATGCTCTTCCAGGCTTTCAACTAATAAGGAATGATCGGATTACTCGGGTTGGTGGAGGTGTTGCTATCTACCTTCGGTCACACTTACCATTTACAATTATAAGTATGTCAACTGACCAGGGCACTACAGGAGCTGAACATTTAATTATTGAAGTTTTTTTTTCTGGTTCCAAGCTACTACTTGGCGTGTTTTATAATCCTAGCCTTACAGTTGACTACTTTTCTTCGTTTGAAAGCCTCTTAGACAAATATATCCCTCTGTATCAACACTCTATCATTATGGGTGATTTTAACACGTGCCTTCTAAAAAATGACTCGCGCTCCTTTCGATTGAAATCTATAGTTCAAGCAGCTAACTTACATATTCTCCCTCTTTCTGCTACTCACTTTTTTCCAAATTGTTCGCCATCTCTTCTGGACCTTATTCTTGTTTCTTCCATTGATCATGTTGATAAACATGGTCAGTGTCCTGCTGATGCATTTTCATATCACGACTTGATTTACTTATCTTACAAATTACGACCACCTAAACCTAAATCGAGAATCCTTCTGCTGCGTAATTTTGATGGTATGGATTTAGATCGTCTGAGAGATGAGGCTGCGAAGATCGACTGGAATGTTGTTCTTACTGGAGCTAACATTGACGAAAGGGTTAATAGCTTTAATTCTCTTTTAATACAACTCTACGACGTTCATGCTCCAATTCGGCCGGTCCGGATTAAGCATTTGCCTGCTCCGTGGCTTACTCAGGAGATTAAAAATTTGCAGCGTAAGAAAAATTTTGCAAAAGCCAGGTATAAATTTGATAACTGTGATACCAATAGAGATAAATATAAAAAAATTCGGAATCACTGCAACAGGTTGTGTAGAGATAAACAACGACGCTATATTCATAAATCTATACTCGATGAAGATAATTCCGGCAGAGTATGGAAATTTCTTAAGTCTCTTGGAGTTGGGAAAGCGAGTCAAAATAGTAGCCCCAAAAATATTGACTTAAACCAGCTAAATCAGCATTTCTCTTCTTCTTGTGCCATAGATGAGGTCACAAAAATACAAACTAAAACTCAAATTTCAGCTTTACCCAAATCTGACAATCCTGCGTTTATTTTTAGTCAAATCACTGATAGTGATGTTAAGAAAAGCATTGTTGAGGTCAATTCTGATGCAATTAGTACAGACTGCATTAGTCGTAAAATGATTATCCCTATTGTTGATATCTTGACTCCTGTTATAAAATCCATCTTTAATTATTCCATTTCATCCGGAAATTTTCCCTCCTCCTGGAAAGAAGCCCAGATTACTCCTATACCCAAAAAAGCAAATCCCTCCAGTTTCTCTGACTACCGCCCCATATCCATAATTCCATTCCTTTCAAAAGTTTTTGAGCGTATAGTCCATCGACAATTGAGCATCTACTTATCTAGGTGGAGTCTTTTAAATTCTTTCCAATCCGGTTTCCGTGTTGGTCATAGTACGACTACTGCCTTAGTCAAGATTACAGAGGATATTCGTCTAAGTATGGATAAACAGCACGTAACAGTGTTGACCTTACTTGACTTTAGTAATGCATTTAACAATGTGGATTTTGATCTACTGTTAGCTATCTTAGCTTCTCTTAACATATCTCCTGAAGTGATTGACTGGTTTCATAGATACTTGTTTGGTCGCCGGCAACGGACACGTGTAGATGATTCGTTCTCTAACTGGTGTACGATTAATGCAGGTGTACCGCAAGGTGGCGTGTTGTCTCCTCTCCTCTTTTCAATCTTCATTAGTTCGATCACGCTCCAATTATCTTCTCGCTACCACCTGTATGCAGATGATCTCCAAGTATATGAGCATGCCAAATTGATGGATTTACCCAATACTATAGGTTTATTAAACAAAGATCTTGACTTAATTGTGGATTGGTGTAAGTCATACGGTCTTAAAGTAAATCCATCAAAAACAAAAGCAATAATTATAGGCAGTCAAAAATTGGTTAATCTTATAGATTTTTCTTCCCTACCTGGTATTATTTTTGATGGGACACCTGTGCCATATAGTGACACCGTTAAAAATCTAGGTGTTACTTTTGACAAATTTTTATCTTGGGCTCCACAGGTAAGCGAGGTTAGTAGGAGGATGTTTGCGTCGGTCGGATCTCTCCGTCGATTAAGTAATTTTTTACCCATACCTACCAAAATTGCGCTTGCACAATCACTTCTTTTACCGATTCTCGATTATGCTGACACGTGTTATCTCAATTTAAATGAGGAGATGCTTAATAAACTTGAGCGCATTCAGAATCTATGCATACGGTTCATATTTGGACTTCGAAAATATGACCATGTCTCCGAATATCGCGAAAAACTCAAGTGGCTTCCGATCCGTCTTCGCAGGAATACTCACATTCTTTCTCTTTTATACTGTATACTATTCAATCCCACTTCCCCTACTTACCTTAAAGAGCGATTTGAGTTTCTTGGTGACAATCACTGTCGCTCTCTTCGCTCTGATAAAAATCTCACCCTAAAAATTCCATCTCATAACACTTCCTTCTATTCTAAATCCTTTTCTGTTGAAGCTGTTAGGCTCTGGAACTCCCTACCGCTGCACATTAGAAGTGCGCAGTCTATTGATAAGTTTAAAAAACTTGTCAAAGCGCACTTCTTTCCTCCTTAAATAGTCATTCCTCTAAAAAATTACTACCTACTCATTTTTCCTTACGTTTAGGCTTTGATTTCACTTGTTTAATCTTTTCTGCTCTCGTATATGTATGTATATATTTTTGTATTTAAAATGTATTTGTTTATATTATAGACGTATGTATTTATGGATTATATTATATATGTTGTGTGTATTTTCTATCAACCTACGTACACCCTTACCCTTTCTCACAGGTCATTTTATCCTCTGCAATGTGGTTGCCTGGTAGAGATCGCTCCCAAGCGATAAGGCCGCCAATTGTACCTTTAAATAAACTATGTTCTTTTTTATTCTCATATGTATTTTTTTGGTGTACAATAAAGTGTATTTCATTCATTCATACGGCAAACTGCCAGTACGGCGCCAAAAAGAATTGAGTCCGTCTCGCAAAGGTCCCGGCTGGCTTCCAAATAGGTCACCAGCATTGGGTTGAGAGCCCTCACGACAGCCCGATTTCGCTTGCTTAGGGGTATTTTATATTATATAAATTATTTTTTTTATTATTATTATTGCTATTTTATTTTAATATTAATGTATTTATGGACTCAGATTGTATTTTTTATGTTTTTTTTCTATGATATTATTGATGTATTGTTAATTAGGATATTATAAAATAATTTTGCTATTACCTATATAATGACGAGGATGTGTAATACCGAATTGTTAATCTTATAAGCGTTTTGGATATGTCATCTGTTAGCTTGTAAGATGAAATGAAATAAATAAATAAATAAATAAATATGCCTGCTGGACGAAATTGGCAAATTGTTCGAGAGGATAGTTGCCACTCGGCTCAGTCTGTCGCACGTCGATCCCGATTTGGCTGACAGCCAGTTTGGGTTCCGACGGGAGCGTTCCACTGTAGATGCGATTATGCACGTCCGCTCCCTGTCGGAACAAACAGTATCACAGAGTGGTGTAGCATTGACGATAAGTCTTGATATCGGCAACGCCTTTAACTCTCAACCCTGGGACGCAATCAGGAGGGCCTGCAATCTGCCTGCAAGGTATTATTGGGGACTACTTGCGCGCCAGGTACATTCTGTACACAGGGAAAGATGGTAGAAAGATTCGGAGGGAGATCAGACTTGGGGTTCCACAAGGCTCGGTGCTGGGTCCACTACTGTGGAACCTCGCGTACGATGCGGTTCTGCGACTCGACCTTCCGCTGGCGTAAATATCGTGTGCTATCCCGACGAGACCTTGGTGATCGCCAGCGGGATAACTTGCGAGAGGGCCAAGGGGCTCGTCGAACTTGGAGTGGAAGTCGTCGTCGCCAAAATCCACGAGTTGGGTTTAGAAATAGCGCCTCACAAGACCGAGGCCCTATGGTTCCATAAATTACCACGGGCAGGGTACTATCTGACTCGTGCGTCCGCGTGGGTGGGTCCGAAGTCAGAGTGGGGAGACACATAAAGTACCTAGGCCTCCACCTTGACAGTCACTGGGGCTTCAAAGAACATTTCGAGCCTGGGTCGAAAAGGTGGCGGGTGCTATACATAGACTGCTGCCCAATCTAGGGGGACTGACGGAAAAAGTACGTCGCCTCTATGCGGGAGTTAAACGGTCCGTAGCTCTATATGGAGCGCCTGTATGGGCAAAAAGGCTGGTCATCCGACTCTGTAGAACTAAAATTTACAGTGTCCAGCGGAGTATGGCCATACGGATCGTACGAGAATACCGCACTATATCCTTTGAGGCGGCGACAATCCTGGCTCGCTTTCCACCACTAGATATACTGGCGGAGATCGACGCGAGGGTGTACGACCGAATCCGTGCCCTCCGCCAGAGTGGTGGTAGTGAGCCAGAAGAGGCGCTCAAATCAATTAAACGGCGGGAACGACAAAACGCCCTGGCGACATGGTGCATTCGACTCGAGGAGCACTATGAACACAAACGCATCATTAGAGCAATCCTGCCGGTCTTCGAAGCCTGGATGCAGCGACGAGCAGGAAGACTCACCTACAGACTTACATAGATAATTACCGGACACGGGTGCTTCGATGATTATCTGTGTAAGATCGGACGCGAGGCGACGGCGAACTGCTTCCACTGTAGTGGATAGGACGAGGACTCCGCTTCCCATACGCTCACAGTATGCCCAGCGTGGAAACGGGAGCGGACAATCCTGGGAACCGCATTGGACGGAACCTTTCCCTGCCAGCAGTCGTGTCGGCGATGCTGAGCGGGGATTCGGCGTGGATGGCCGTAGCTACCTTCTGTGAATCTGTTATGATTCAGAAGGAGGAGCAGTCGAAGAAGTCGAGAGCATTGTCCGGATCTGCATGCTCCAGTGCGGGAGCATGGTTAACGCTCGGCTGGATGCGATTTCACGGCGTCTCCCGGCGGAAATCCTCCGTCCGCCTTTGGCGGAGACACTCGGAGAACTGAGGAGCCGCCGAGACTTGCGCCTCAAAAGGGGAAGCCTGCGGAGGGTAACAAAAAGCCCGCGGAGGGAGCTCCTTCGAGCGAGCAGCCCACGACTGTCGGGTCGAAGGGTGAAACCTGGGCAAAAGTCGTGGGCCGCAAAAAGGCCCGCAAAGCCGCCAAGAAGGCCGCAGCAGCTGCATGCGCCCCAGGTGGAACCGCAAATACGGCTCCTCAACCTGCGCGGCGGACTGCCAAAGGCGGTCGCAAGAGACCGGCTGTGCACGTTCCGCGGTCCAATGCCGTGACGCTTACGTTGTAGCCCGGAGCTGTGGAGCGTGGCGTGACGTACCAGTCGGTCATCGCCGAGGCCAAGGCCAAGATCAAATTATCTGATCTTGGCCTTCAGTCCGTCATCCTCAGGCAGGCTGCCACTGGTGCACGGCTGTTCTAGGTGGCTGGCACTGTGAGCAGCAGTGCCGAAAAGGCGGACGCACTGGCCGCCAAAATGAGGGAGTTTCTCAACCCTGAGGACGTCCGGGTCTCCAGACCAATGAAAACCGCAGAGGTGCGGATTGCTGGCCTGGACGACTCCGTGACCTCTGAGGAGGTGGTGGCGGCCGTTGCCAGAAGCGGAGAGTGTCCGCCGGACAAGGTGCGGGCTGGGTTCCGTGCCCTGTGGCGTCAGCGAAGAAGATCGCTGATAGCGACAGATTGCTGGTAGGTTGGGTGGCGGCAAGGACCAAACTTCTACAGCCCCGGGCTTTGCACTGCTTCCGGTGCCTGGAAAAAGGGCACGTCCGGGCGAAATGAACCGCCGAGGTTGACCGTAGTGACCTCTGTTATCGCTGCGGCCAGCCTGGCCACAAGGCGGCCCTGTGCACCGCGACGTTCAACTGCAGCCTTTGTTCTGCTGCGGGAAGGCCTGCAGGGCACAGAGTAGGCGGAGCGGCCTGTGGGGCGCCTGCCAGCAGGAAGAAGAAAAAGGAAAAGAAGATGAGCACTAAGCCTGCCGGGTTAACCTCGCTGCCCCCGCAGGCCAGCAGCTCCGCGGCCGACTCCCGGCCCAGGACCGTTGCCGAGGGAATGGAATGCCAGTAACGGCACAATTCCATTTTCTCCAGGGCAACATCAACCACTGTGCCAGAGCTCAGGATCTCCTACTCCAGAGCATGTCAGAGTGGTCGATTCACGTGGCTGTGGTCACCGAACCGTACTTCATTCCCGCCCGTGACAACTGGTTGGGATGCGCTGACGGTTTGGTGGCCATTATTGGCGAGACTCTGATCGACCCGTCTCGGGGCCGTGGATGGGTTGCTGCGGTTTCGGGCGGCATCGTTGTTGTAGGGGCGTATTTCTCCCCCAACAAGAGTCTCGCCGACTTTGAGGGTTTCCTTGTCGAGTTGGGCGCCGTCGTAGGCCGCTATCACCCTCGTCCGGTTCTTGTGCTCGGGGATCTCAACGCCAAAATATCGGCGTAGGGATCTCCGGTCACTGACCCTCGGGGCGAGGTGCTAGAAGAGTGTACGGTGACGACTGGTCTGGTCGTCCTGAATCATGGTTCGGAATACACGTGCGTGCGGCAGCGGGGTGGGTCGATAGTGGACGTCTCGTTTGCTAGCCCCTCTGTCGCCAGCCGAGTCCGCCACTGGCGTGTCGCCGCAGAGGTGGAGACGCTGTCGGACCATCGGTATATCCGGTTCGACGTCTCTGCCCAGACTGCGAGCGGCCGCCATCCAACAACCCCGATTAGCCCGCGTTGGGCGCTTAAGCGCATCGACGGAGAACTACTCGAGGAAGCTGCCTTAATCCAGTCCTGGATCTTGGAGTCGACAACGGACGGCCCCGTCGACGTCGGAGCGGTGAAGCTATGGTTTCGCAGGGCGATGACGCAGATCTGCGACGCGTCCATGCCCCGTGTCCGCCAACGGTCCGCAAAGCGCCAGGTGTACTGGTGGACCTCCACCTCCCATGGCCCCACCAACCTTACGGTTATACGGGCCGAATCTCGAGAGATGCACGCGGTACTTGCTCAGGGCTCTTTCCCGCATGCACTTTCTTGACTCTCTACAAGTTATTTAATCTACTCCTTGTCCCGTAGTGTCACTCTCCCTTTCTGGGCTGGACGAACACGTAACGCCTTCGGTTCCGGGCAGAATCCTTACTTGGTTCTTCTCCATCGCAATTCTCCGCGCATGCCAACCATGCGCAAACTCCCGCAGCCGGTCAAAGCTCTCCTTACCGTCCACGAGGTCCGGGTAGTAAACCGGACCCACCCCTCTGCGTACTATTCCGTCCATCATCTTACATCTCAGGTCATCATACAACTCGCACTCCCATAGCACGTGATGCCTATCCTCATAGGCAGCACCGCAATCACACATACCAGATTCAACCAATTTTATATCATGCAGTCTCTTTCGAAAACATCCATGCCCACTGAGTATCTGCGAGACTTGATAGTCCGGCACGACCCAATTCGCATTGAGCCGCGCCGACACGTCCGGGAAGAAGCAGAATAACTCTCTTCCATTCGTCTCGTTCATCCATCGTTCCTGCCATACATCCATAACTTCAAACCAGATTTCGGGCTTACGCCTGCTCAACTCCCCATTCTCAACATTTCTACGCGCCTGGTCAATCCTACCAACACGAGTTACCTCCAGATCGGCCGGCAGGACGCCGGCTAATACCGGGAGCGCCGCAGTACTTATCGTCCTATACCCCTTTGTCAACAGCACGAGCGAAGATCTCTGCGATCTCAGCAGTGCCGTTTGCACTGTATAGTTCCCCACCCGATCAACCCAAACGGCCGCAGCATATGTCACTATTGGAACATATGTATCCTTATATAGAACACGGAGTGCGGGGTAGCGTGTGCCCCAAGAAGATGCCAACACCCGCGACATCTTCCCAAAGCATCGCCCAGCCCTCTCTCCCATATCTTTGGCGTGCTGAATAAAGAATAGACTCGTGTCTAACGTGACACCCAATACCTTAGTCGACGTTACGCTTTTAACTGACTCCGTCCCAATCCTTATAACAGGTGGTCGCTGGAACTTGCCTTTAATAGTCATGGTACATGACTTCGCGGAGGAGAAGGATAAACGGTTCCTCTCTCCCCACGATGATACCAACTCCAGTGCAGATTTGGCCGCTCTCTCTATTTCAGCTCTAGAGTTCGCCTCTATCAAAAGTGTCACGTCGTCTGCATACGCCAACATTTTCGTCCCTAAGGGGAACGGCAGCCTCAACAAATCGTCCAGCAGTAAATTCCACAAGGTCGGTCCAAGGACCGATCCCTGGTCGAGCGTTTCTATTCGGCACAGTCACCCACGAATATACCCACTCGCCTGTTGGTGAAATAGTCCACCAACATGCGGTAGATATTAGGTGGAATCCCTCCTTGTTTTGCCTTCAGCAGTATCATTGGCCACCATGCATTATCAAATGCTCCTGATATGTCTAAAAAGACGGCTTGTACATACTTGCGCTGCGACTCGCGCGCAGTACTAAGCACGTCTTGCAGCGCCGTTACCGTGGACCGACCCGGCGAAAACCCGTGCTGGTATTCCGATATGCCCCTCACCAAGCTCGGAGCACACCGCAGCAGAACTCGCTCCAGCAACTTCCCAAAGATGGGGAGGAGCGTAATCGGGCGGTAGGCCTTGGGATCTGTTAGTGGCCTATCATTACCTTTCGGAATAACTATCAGCCGTCCTTTCTTCCATACTTCGGGGAAAACCCCCTCTTCCACACATTTGGCATACACCCAGTGGAATTTCCTAGGTGCAACTCTCCACACATTCTTAACAATTTTGGCACCTATCCCGTCCAGTCCCGGAGCAGTGTTGGGCAACGCCCTGACTATACCCCCCAAACACCCAATGGTTGGGGGAACGGCAGCCGATCCAGATAGGGTGAAGGCGACCATGAGACGCACCCGCCCATGAAACTCAGTGTCCTTGGACGATTCATCGTCCGGACACAGAGCCCCGAGCAGGCCCCGCACGGCCTCCCTCACCCCCCCCCCCCGAATGTCGCTCCGTGAACTCAATGGCATTAATGATATTACTGGGAGGACGATATCTCCCGCTAGAGATCTGATATGCACGTCCCCATGGGTCAGCATTTCCCATCTCCGAAATTTTTCTAAAATGGGCCAATTCCGTATCCCCCATCAACTGTCTATATCGCGCTCTCACACTATGGAATCGTTCCATGGCTAATTCCTCAGACCTGCCTCCTTTTCTTCTAGTCTTTTGCCATGCCCTTCTCGCATTACATACTTTTTTCCTCATTCTGTCAAGTTCAGGCGTCCACCACTCATAGCCGACCTCCCGTCTAGGGCGCGCACTCCCCAGGACATCTTCCGCAGATCGAACCACAATGTCAGTGAACTGCACACAAAGACGATCAGCCGGCTGCCTTACTTTCAATGCGCCCATTCGTACATGAATAGTTCCACGAAAGAAGCCCCAGTTCACCCCCCGGTCCCGAAAACAGGCAGGCACCTACACCGGCCCCGGGAGCCTCGCATGTGGTTCTCCTCCAACTTTGTATATTATGAACCGGTGGTCGCTCGAGCTGACGTTGTTCAGGACTCGCCACCCTGTGATCGAGACTCCTCTGGAGGAAAGAGTGACATCTATATTGGACTCACCCATTGCACCCGAAAAGGTGCTTGGTTGGCCTTCCACGTTGACTATCACCAATCCCCGCGACGTTATGAAATCCTCCATGGCAGTACGACGGTAAGCAGCATCATGGCCCCTACCTACGATCTGTTCAGCCTCACTGAACCAGAGTGGTGAGTGCGCGTTGCAATCCACTCCAATTACAACGCGCTTGCCTTTCAACTGGTCAAGTACGGTCTCTAGATGTTGCAGGTGATAATCGATGTTATGGCTATATTTAAAATAAGCCGAGACGATGTAGAGACCGTACTTCTCCACATGGCACACTACACAATAGGGATTACTTAGGTGAGGCAATCCAGCCACACCCAAATTTCCGTTGCAGATCTTGATACCAGCCTGCGATCCATCGCCGAACTGTACTACTTCCTGCACCTGCGGCCACTGTTCCTGGACTAGGAAAATATCCAAGTCCAGGTCCCTCGCAAGTGCAGGGAGCTCCTTGGTGACCATCTCGCCGCGCCCCAAATTGAGCTGTCCAATTGATAAATAATTTTTATCCGCCATACTGTGTAGTATTGACCGCCCTCTCCTCTGCGTATACCCTAGCTGGGCACGTCTTCGCCATCGTGGCATGGTTCCTTGCGCCCGGCTTGCCAAACCTGCGACAAGTAGCACAGCAAGTGTCGGCTGATTTGCAGGCCTCTCGGCTGTGACCCTCTTCTCCACATTTGCCGCATGTCTCCTCTTTTGCCCTGCAATATTTAGCAGGGTGCCCGTATTGCTGGCATCGTTGGCAGCAGGTGACGTCTATAAAATCACACGGCTCGACCACGTCCCACCCTATGTAAAGTCTATACCTGGCGGTCAGCACATCCCGCAGCGCAGGGGTGCACTGTAGCACCACCGTGGTCCTTCTGCTCCCCTTCCAAGATTTCTTAAATGCAATTTTGCACTGCTTCTTCAGCTCCTCCAGGGTCCACTTTTCATCCTCACCAAAGTTCTGGTCGTGGAGGGCCGGCAGGATTTCTTCTGACTTCACGTCATCTTCGAAGCCACGCAACGCAACTAATGGTTGGCGCTGTCGAGCCTCTGCAACCCTTAATGTAGGTGGTGCTGCATTTCTCAGTTTTTGTGCTGACTCCTTGGACGTGGTCTGGACCACAACTCCAGCATTTCCAATCTTCCTCAGCTTAGAGACCTATATATTGATCTCCGAAGGATTAATTGCCTTTTTCAATTCAGCTTTGGTATCGTCTGCCGTCTTGAGGTGTTCTTGCTCGTCGGCTGGGTAAAAGGCGAGAACCGGACCAGACTTCTCCGGCATTGGCATGGCAGTAACGCCCTTTGGCATCCTTAGTGCTGCCGCAAATGTTGGACCAGCGGCTGGGGCGTGGTCACCGTCACCTGAGGGTATACACGCGGCCACCTGGCGCGCCAGCTTCGCTTCTGCTTCTGCTTTGTCCCGCTCAGCTTTGCAAAGCGCAAGCTGAGCCTCCATAACATGTACCTGCATCGCCGCCATCATTGCAATCATGTCCTGCCCAGTTACCGAAACTTTGTTCACTTCCATTTTGTTCAATTTGGATCCTGGACCAGAGACGATTCCTATGATCGTATTTACTGCCGCTCTTGTATGTTCTATTATTTGCAAGGGTGAAGCCTTGCAAGCATCAAACTCCTCCTCCATGATGTCCAGGTCCTCCTCAAGCGCTGACCTAGTCCATTCTACAGTCACTGCGCCTGGGGCCGCAGTCCCTGCTTTCTTCTTGTCTTTTTCCTTTTCTTTTTCAATCTTTTGTCGCTGCGTCACAGGCTGCTGCTGATCCGGGGACGTTAAAGGCCGCTTTTCGGCCGTACCGCTCGAGCTACCCTTAGGGTTCGGCATACTGGGGCCAGCAGGCCTCACTGAAGCTCCCCCGGGGGGCGTGCGCGCCAAAGATTTTCGTGGGACAAATAGGGGGGGTTCGTCCCCCGTTATAACTATTTCCTGCTTATATCATACAACGTCAATATTTAAGTGGTTCATTCCAAAAAACACAAAGAAAAATTTAAAAGTTAAAAAGTTATGGAAGCTTTCCAACTTCAGAAATCAAACCGCCGGAGGGGCATTACCAATAGTCCACGAATATGAGAGGCAAGAGGTTCTAAAAATTCCGAGAAATTTTATGGTGACTCAAGTGGTCGCCAGATATATGGCAAACACACACCAGCGCCCTCTAGCGGGATACACTCGGACCAAAGCTTAATATTAGAATAGTTCGAAGCAAATTAAAACTAAAAACTAAAAGTGTCACTGTCACAGCCCAACCACAAGATGTCGCTGACTTTACAGCTATAGTGGCGCCATCTGGTGGCACTAACCTAAACTAATAAAATATAACAAAAACTATAAATAGAGTGTCACTTTCACAGTTAATAGTACGATTTAGCTTTAATAGATGTCGCTGGGGTGCGGACACACACCTAGCGCCACACAGCGGCGCACAGCGCAACAGTCACCACACTCGAACTGCCAGGCACAAATAGCACAGACCGTGCTGGTTGTGCGCACGGCGCCCGCAGATGGCGTCGCGGTGCCGGAAGAAGTGTACTGGTGGACCGCCGAGATCCCGCAATTGCGCATAGCGTGCGTTGCGGCTCGTCGCCGGTACACCAGATACCGGAGGCGGCGTCGACGGGATTCCGCCGAGGAGGACGCGCTGTATGAGGTGTACCGCGCGTCTAAGGAGACTCTGTGGCTGGCCATCGGCAACTAAAAGTCGCGGGCCAGGGAGGAGCTGCTGGGGTCCTTAGATCGGGATCCGTGGGGGCGGCCTTACCGTTGGATACGGGGCAAGTTGCGTCCCTGGGCGCCTCCACTAACACAAAGGATGAAACCCCAGGTGCTAGAGGCGGTGTTATCGACTCTCTTCCCTGAGCGAGTGGGACACGTTCCCCCGGTGATGGCTTCGCCCTCAGCCACAGACTCTCCAAAAGAGGAGAGCACCGATGTCCCCGAGGTGACGCAAGCAGAGACGAGAGTGGCCGTGTCGCGACTCCGGGCTAAGAACACAGCGCCCGGATCCGACGGAGTCCCTGGTCGAGCTCTCGTCCTGGCTCGGAAGGAGCTAGAGCCCCAGCTGAGGGGGCTCTTCACGGCATGTCTCGAGCAGGGTCAGTTTCCCAGTGTGTGGAAGGAGGGGAGGCTGGTCCTGCTCAGGAAGGAGGGGCGCCCCGCGGACTCACCGTCCGCGTACCGGCCCATAGTGCTGCTCGACGAGGCGGGCAAACTTTTTGAGCGTATCATCGCAGATCGCCTCGTCAGCCACTTGTGCAGAGAGGGGCCGGACCTGGATGCCAACCAGTTTGGTTTTCGTCGCGGGCGCTCCACCATAGACACTATTACGCGCGTGAGGGCCCTGGCGGAGGAGACAGTATCCCGGGGTGGTGTGGTGCTGGCGGTGTCCTTAGACATCTCCAACGCCTTCAACACCCTACCCTGGAGTTGTATTCGGGAGGCGCTGAATTACCATCGCGTGCCACCCTACCTCCGCCGCATAATAGGGACTTACCTTGAGGAGAGATGCGTTACCTATTGGGGACGTGACGGCGCTGGTCGGCGCGTCATATCGTGCGGTGTTCCGTAGGGATCGGTCTTGGGACCGCTCCTGTGGAACATCGGCTACGACTGGGTGCTGATAGGTGAACTCCCGTCGGGCGCCGACTTGACGTGTTATGCGGACGACACGCTCGTCACTGCCCGGGGGAGATCGCACAGGGAAGCAGCGTTGGTTGCCACGGCTGCGGTGTCACAAGTGGTGAACCGCATCCGACGCCGGGGCCTGGAGGTGGCCCTAAACAAGTCGGACATCATGGTGTTCCATGGCCCTTGACGCGCGCCGCCGCCAGGTTCACACATCGTGGTCAGCGGGGCCCGGATAGCTGTCGAGTCCACCATGAAGTATCTGGGATTGGTGCTCGACAGCCGATGGGAATTGGGACCCCACTTCCGGCGGCTGGCGCCCAAGCTGATGGGTGCAGCGCGCGCGCTTTCAACGTTGCTTCCCAACTTGGGGGGCCCGAGCGCCGCCTGTAGGCGGTTGTACGTAGGAATCGTGCGGTCCATGGCCCTTTATGGGGCCCCTGTGTGGACGATGGACATGACGGCCAGCACTCTCGCCATTCTGCGCAAACCGCAGAGGGCGATGGCCGTCAGAAACGTCCGCGGGTATCGCACGATTTCCTACGAGGCGGCTTGCGTCCTGGTCGGATCCCCGCCCTGGGACCTAGAGGCGAAAGTACTCGCGTCATTATATCGATGGCGCGAGGAATAGCGGGCACGGGGCTCGAGGCCGGTGCAGCGGCAGATCGCGCTGCGCCGAGAAGAGCTCCGTCAGGTCTTGGTGGCGGAATGGCGGTAAAGGCTTCTGCGCCCTACCGCCGGCCTCGCTACCGTCGAGGCGATCCGGCCAGTACTCGACGACTGGCTCGGGAGAAGGCACGGCTCCCTGTCGTTTAGGGTGACGCAAGTGCTGTCGGGGCATGGCTGCTTCGGCAAGTACCTGCGCCGCATAGACAGGGAGCCGGACGCTCGGTGCTACCACTGCGTCCATTGCGGGGAGGACACGGCGCAACACACGCTCGCCGAGTGTGTAGCTTGGGAGGAGCAGCGCCGTGTCCTCACAAATAAAGTAGGAGGCGATCTGTCGCTGCCGGCCTTAGTGCGGAAGATGGTCGGTAGCGCAGAGTCGTGGGATGCGGTGGTGTCCTTCTGCGAGGACGTGATGTCGCAGAAGGAAACTGCGGAACAGGAAAGGGAGATCGCGACTCCCTTCCCTGGCCGCAGAAGGCGCACCGGGCGCAGGAGAAGGGCGGACAACGCCCTTTTCCAGCCCCCATAAATGGTGTAGTGTTATGCTACTTACATATCATTTTACACTATTTTAAATTCGTTTTTCCATTCTTTTTTGATTTTCTACATTCACCTCAAAACTGGATATTTTGTATTACCTTTATTTCCATAGGATCCTGTAACGTTTTTAAACCATAAGAAAACAATAACAAATCATTTTCACTTCATATTTTCACGCTATCAGCACTTTTTAAATCGGTGTCGATGGAGTCTACCTTTTTCGATCTTTAGTTCTCCGTAACTCTGCAATTTCGGGCTTCGGGCGCGCTGGCGCGCTACCTTTTTCCTATATCATCAATAATATCTCATTTTTCACTTAAATCTTGCCGTTTCTCTATTACGAGCCTGAAACCAAAATTTGACATGTTTTGACATCGTTGTTTATCTGGTTGTCATGGCAATTTTTATTCAAATTCGTTACCGGTCTGATGTTTTTACTTCAATACTTCCACAAAAATACTCTTTTCCTCTTGGCCATTTACAAAAATTTGCTTTTAATTTAAATAATTTTCCGTTCTTATCCCAGATCCGCCGTCGAACGCGGAGCTCTCTAAAAAGGTATAAAAGTCGAACAATCGGCCAATAAACTCAGTCTCGCTTCAGCTTTCAAACTTGAAGCATCTCCTAAATGCCTTCACCTGAAGTCGTCGCCTAGCCACGCCCACGCCTCCACCTACTAGTGCCCGCGCTATCTTTAGCGCTGCGAGCGCTTACTCCAGGCGCTGAGAGCGCCTACTCAAGGCGCTGTGTGTGCCTACTCCAGGCGCAGCGTGTGCCTACTCCAAGCGCTGCGTGTGCCTACTCCAGGCGCAGCGTGTGCCTACTCCAAGCGCTGCGTGTGCCTACTCCAGGCGCTGCGTGTGCCTAGACCAGGGGCTGCGTGTGCCTACTCCAAGCGCTGCGTGTGCCTACTCCAGGCGCTGCGTGTGCTTAGACCAGGCGCTGCGCGCCTACCACAGGCACAACCTGTGCATACTCCGTAAGCGGTGAGCACCACCGCCAAGCGCGGTGTGCCACTTTGGTCTTCGGGCTCCGCTTCAGTACTCATCTATCTTTGTTATCTTTTTTTAAATAATTGTAATTCACGTCACCCATCATCATCATCATACTTAATTTTTTTTTATATAAAACTGTAAATATCTTTTTAAATTTTAAATAAATTATTTTTTTGTTCTGTTTTTGTTGTTTCGTTGTTGTTAGGTTAAATTCTTTTATTTTTAATTGTCGCTTTACGACATTTTTGGCGCCCAACGTAAAAGTTCTCTTTCTCTCTTAATTTTTTTTTCTCTTTTCTTCACCTTTACTGCGCCTTGTCCATTTCCTTTTGATTTAATTGCTTTCTCTTTCGTTCTTAACTCTTTATTTATTCATCCTTTTCATATCTTCCAAATTCTAAAACAAAACTTCATCTAGTTTTTCAACTTATCTGGATTATATTTAAACCTACATTTAACACTTCACTTACATTCATCACTTTAATATTTTTATTCTAGATAACTTAAAGAGGTATAATTTTTTAATTAAATTTTTATTTCTTAAACTTAACTTTGCAATGAAAAGGGTTATTAAGCACGAATTCCTTAACAAGGCCGAGCTCGAATACGAAATGAAGATTAGATGTGAGGAACCAGCTAATACTGGTTTGCTTCTAAAAAAACAGGTTTTGCGTTAAGTTGCGAATTCTCACCCTGAAGATATTCTGACTTCTCCAATTCCGATCGAGGATGACTTGTCTCAAATTGGTTCTACTTTGACCTACCTGGACTGTAAAATTGAAAAATTTTTACAAGATGAAACCAAATACTTACGACTAATAGAAACTTTTATTAATCATGTTTTTTACAGATTGGAGCGAATAGATACTGACTTATATCCAGACTTTAAAGCTATTTTTGATACTTTGAAGATGAAATTTGACACTATTACTAAACAATTCGAATCCTTGACTCCACCTTCAACTGAAAATAACTCTCCATCACTTGACCCTCCTGTTGACCCGACTGTCATGGAACCCCCTCTTGTTTCTCAAACTTCTGATCAGATTCATACCCCGTATCCTTCACCTCCACCTCAATCTTTTTCTCCAACTAACGTCTTCAAAGATCTGAAAAGACACACCTTCAATGGTAAAAGCTGTTCAAGATCCTTTCTTCAAAAACTTGAAGAATACTGCTTAGCTCGTGGCTTGTCCAAAGACTTGTTGATTTCTCAAGCGTTCGAAATTTTCACCGACAATGCTCTTCATTGGTTCAGATTTAAATATAATCAGAATCCAAACTTAACTTGGAACGAACTTTCTTCTTTATTAATCAAAGACTTTGGTGGTTTTGATTATGATCATAAACTTCTAGAAGCGATTAGGAATCGAATTCAAGGTCGTAATGAACCTATCGTCATCTATATCTCCATCATGTCTGGAATGTTCTCTCGTCTTTCGAAGAAACTTTCTGAAACAGAACAATTGGAGATTATTTTGAGGAATATTCGCCCATGCTATTCAGTCTCGTAGCTCTAAAAGACATTGACTCTATCGACTCTCTTCTGGCTACTTGCCAAAACTATGAAAAGTTCCTAGACAGAGACAAACAATTTAAAGAACCAAATGTACAACAAAGTCCTCTTATTTCTGAATTCAACTACAAGCATTCCACTTCAAGTTCAGTTGATTCCCCAAATTCTTCTAATAAGTCACGACCTTCTCCTCCCTTCATGAATAAATTCACTTCATCCTACAAATACCCTTCTAGACAAGTTAATAGTCTCTCTCAAACTAAAGCTCCTCAAGAAAGCTCTTTTTGTGTTCGCTGTCGTAAACAAGGTCATACTTTGAACACTTGTACTCAACCACGATTCGTGATTTGTTTCAAATGTGGTCTTAAGGGTTTTAAAACTGCAGATTGCCCTACTTGTTCTCCCAAACCTAATACTAGTTCAAAAAACTAACTGCTGACTTGAAAAGTAACTTAAACTTTGATAATGACGATTGGACTAATTGGATTAAAACAATTCAAAACTTCTTTTCTTGTTACAAAATCTCTTCTACACTCTACTCCAAAGAACAAGATCTTAATCGTCCAATCGTTAATGTCAAAATTTATGACTTAACTTTATCTGATTTACTAGATTCTGGCAGCTCAGTAACTATACTGGGTAATAATTCTCATTTGGAAATTCTTAAACTGGGCTGCAAACTTCTCAAGTCAGATCTTATTATTGTCTCTACTGCTAATAATCAAAAAGTTAATTCCTTGGGTTATTTTGACTTACCTGTTCATTTCAATAATCAAACTCATTTGATTAAAGCTTATGTTTTCCCTGAAATATTTCCTTCGCTAATACTAGGAATTGACTTTTGGAGAAAATTTAATCTTTTACCTAGTGTTTTATCTTCTCTTCACTTTACAGAATCTAAATGCTCTGCTATCGAAACTAAAGATATTAAAGTTTTACCTTATGAGAATTTAACTCCTAATCAAAAGAACATCGCTAATAACATCATCCAACGCTTCAAGACAATTTCTTTTGAAGAAAAAGGTATCCTGGGAAACACACACTTAATCACCCACAAGATTGACACTGGTGATTCTCTTCCAATCACACAAAGATGTTACAGACTGTCTCCTGAAAAACAAAAGGCGTTAATTAATGAAGTTGACAAGATGCTGAGATGGAACGTCATTGAACAATGCGAAAGTCCTTGGTTATCTCCAGTTCTCATCACTCCGAAGAAGAATG